ATGTCATTTTAATCTTATTAGTTTCAGTTTACTATTTTGAAACACTTTCATTACTTTTGATCTGAGCACATGCTTCATTAATTCAAAACATTTTATCAGCTCATATTAGCCTAGCCCTTTAAAAAATATTTTTAGTGGAAGATGCTCAGCAAAACAGTAAGAGATGATTTTTTTTTCCCCAAAAGTACCTTTAATTTTTTCCTTTCAAAAGAATTCCAATTAAAAAAATAAAGCAAGAGGGCCTCCCTGGTGGCACAGGGGTAAAGACACAACCTGTGAAGCAATCCGCAACCACTGCAGCACGAGTTCGATTCCCAGCCAGCCAGGGAGAAACCCACATGGGGGGACAGACCTCTCCTATCTTACCCACTGCTCCTCTCAGCAGTGTACTTTGGTCCGTCTGCCTGTCCTGTTCCCTGCTCTGTCTCTGGCGAATCCTCTCCCCCCTTGCATCTCTGGCCTGTACCCCAATTCTTATATAAAAATAAATCTTTAAAAAAAATAAAATACAATAAAGGACAGAACTCAGGATTGTAAAATTACCATGCATGACCTACACATGCATCCAGATAGGTAGAAATTGTATTACTTTTGTCAGTAAAGCAATTTCTTAATTTCTCTCTATCTTAGGTTTCTCATTTGTAATATCAAATTAGACAATGATTAAATGCCCATTTTTTGACAATTCCATAAAAACTCTGAACATATGGTGAGTCAGGCAAGCACTTTCCATTATAAAACTGGCTTGTCAATACAAGTTTCAAACATAGAAATCTTCAGAAATACAATAGGGTTAATTGCATTTTTCATATATTTATTTTGTGTTTCTTATAATATCATAGTACTTCTGGAAATTTCACTAAAAATCACTTAAAATTATTCTTTCACTACCTAGCTTAAGAGTATTTTGAATGGGGCACTGTTTTTCTATTTTAGGTCAAACAGTGAGCAATAGCTGATATTCACTGATTTTTTTGATATACAAATACAAGCTGAGGAGATAGACATGATGTCAGGAATAGAGTATATTTGCGACTTTAGATAGGATGGCAAATTGGATTCTGCATGAGAAAATGATTTTGGAACAAAGGCACTCCACAATTGAGACCCTTAGACATAAAGCTATCTAAAAGGGAAGAACTAACCTCCTGCCTCCCATCATGACATAAGCCCCCTGAGGGCAAGTACTGTTCTGTTTATGCTGGTCCGCATGTAAAACAGTGCTTACTGTAACTTGTGTTACTCAATAAAAATATCTTTTTGTAAAATTGAATATTTAACACATTCAAACAAATATGTGTAATTGCTTACATACACACAAAATGAATTAACTGTTTTTGCCACAATGGTAGCATAACAATTGCATACCTTGCTGTTTCAAGCAGCAGCTCTTACACATTGCTTTTATTGATAGCTAGGTGCTACTGAATACAACTGTAATGAGTAAGACTTATAATCACCTCTCCTTATCTATTCTCTGTTACAGTATAAATTCCAAGAGAGCAGAAGTCAAGTCTGTCTTATTCACACTTATCTTCAAATTAGTCTATAATATCTGCTCGGTCTTAAAAAAAAATTAAATAAATAAATCAAATAAATAAATAAATAAATAAATAAATAAATAAAAGGTATGACAGACTGAAGGACTCACAAACTGACTGTATAAATAAACAACAAGGTCATAAAAGAGTAAAAGGAGGAAATAGTTTTAGGAAATACTATAAAAATGAGTTTGGAAGAAATGTAATATGTAGAGCAACAGTAGAGAAAAGCTGGATATAATTCGGCAGGTAATAGGGAAACAGTTTTGATGTGATCTGATAGGTGATCTTGAGATGAGAAAAGACTACGTAGTAGCACTGTGAAAGGGATAAGAAGTTACCCACTATAAGGGGTTATTAAAACTTTTACACTAGAGGCCTCCCCTGGTGGCACAGCGGTTGAGTGCTGGGCTGTGAAGCTGCCCGCAGCCTCTGCAGCGCCAGTTCCATCCCCGGCGGCCAGCGAAGGTCCCACATGGTGCGATAGACCTCTCTTGCTGCGCCCGCTGCTCCCCTCAGCAGTGTATTTCGTCAGTCTGCCTGTTCTGTTCCCCATTCTGGCTCTGGTGAATCCGCTCGCCCTCCTGTGCTTCTGACTGTACCGAGTACTTGTACAAATAAATAAATAAATAAATCTTTTTTAAAAAATTAAAAAAAAAAAAAAACTTTTACACTAGCTAAAAATTGACTATGCTTTTAACAAAAGAGTTCTGTCAACAGGATAAATAATTTCCCATACAGAAAGTGTTATGGATAGAAAAGAACTTAATTATCCACTGTCCAATCTGATTTTGTTTCTACTTCTAAGATAAAAATAATACTGCAAAGTGCTAGCTTAATCAGCCCTTAATGACACAGACTAATCAGTAATCAACAGTCTGGTTTCTAAGACTACCATGTGATATATATCTTTTTATTATTCAGAAGTTACAAATATTAATTCCCAAATTTTAAGACGTGATAATTTTTTTTAAAAATCACATCAAGTCACATAATATCTTCAAAAAGTTGCACTGAAAATAATGCCCCCCAAAAGAGAAGGAAAGCCTAAGTTAATAGTCAATTCAAATACAATAAAGTACTTTAAAATGAGAACCTTGAACGTAATTGCCACTTAAAGTTGGAGAAAGTTACAAGAGGAAAATAAATAACAGATAATCTAGAATATGTTCAAGTTTAGTTAGGAAATATTAATGTCTGATTTATATTAATCAATCTGAAACGTATTATATTGAGAAATGAATAAATATTATGCCATGATTTTATGAAATTGACTCTATTGCTATCCAGCAAATCTGTTTCTGATTTTGTTTTGGCATAAATGAAAATCCCCAGGCATACATTTATTCCCTGTGAATTGAGAAGAATTAAAGCTATTATTTCTAAACACTGCATATAATAGTACAGTGCAAGAAGAAACAACGCAAGTGTCCAACAACAGATGAGTAGATTTAGAGATGCAATATAGATACAAAATGGGCCTCCCTAGTGGTACAAGGGTTAGGATGCAACCTGTAAAGCTGTCTGCAGCCACTACAGCATGAGTTCGATTCCCGGCCGGCCAGGGAGCAACCCAGATGGCACAGCAGACCTCTCCTGACTCGCCTGCTGCTTTGGTCAGTGTGCCTGTTCTGTTTCTCACTGTCTCTGGTGAATCCTCTCACCCCCCTCACCTCTGGCCTGTGCCCCAGCTCTTGTATGCATAAATGGATAAATCTTTAAAAAAAATAGAGAGATACAAAATGGAATACTATTCAGTTATAAAGAATGAATGAAATCTTGCCATTTGCAACAACATGGACAGAACTGGAGGGTATTGTGCTAAGTGATGTAGGTGATAAGGAGAAAGACAAATACTAAATGATTGCACTCATATGTAGAATATAAAGAAACATAACAAAAGAACACAGAAAACCAACTAAAACCAAACCTAGAAATCTGACTGCAGAATTGAGGCTACAAGAGAAGACAATGGTGGGGTTAGAAGCAAAGCGGGAGGAACCCAATGGACTGTGGTTGAGGATTACTAAAGCTGTGGTGGTAGACACGGTGCCATAACATCCATCTGTAGAGGTATGAACCCAGACTCCTAAGACACACACAGTGCTGGCAGCTAGCATATCCTCAATAGATATACTTTAAAAAAGTCCAACATTTACTAAATGGATTTCATTTTATCACATATTCCCTATATAGACTATGTAAACTACTGATTTTCAAATGAGGGGTTCTGTGGCATTTCTAGAGATTTCTTCTAGAATAGTCCTCGTAGACTCAATTCTAGTTCTTAGTCCCATCATATTGTGGGCCCCAAAACTAATTATCAGTTCATAAAAGACTTAAATAAATCAGTGTCCCAATTTTTGTTTTAAAAGTCATTACAATGAAGCATAAGTATTAAGGAACACTAGTTGTGTTAACTAGCTTTATGACTTTATGCGAGTAAATTTAACATTTTGAGCTCTAATTACTTTATGGAATACTAGGATTTAGACTTAAATATTCTCTGATTTTACAACAGAAATTAAAACTTCATTACTATGGTATCTTGAATGGAATAGAGAAGTAACACTATGCAGTGGTTAAGAACACAAATATTGATTTCAAATCCTTAGAGAAGTTATATCAATATTCATTGGCAGAGCCAAGATTTGAACTAAGATTTTGCTAATTAATGGCTCTGCAACATCTTCAAGCCCCAATTTCCTTATCTGCTAACTAAAGATTAAAAATAAGTTTATGGGGGACCTCTCCTGGTGGCGCAGTGGTTGAGTGCTGGGCTGCGAAGCTGCCCACAGCCTCTGCACATAGCCAATCCGGCGAGGGTCGCACATGGCACAACAAACTGCTCCTGCCACGCCCACTGCTCCCCTCAGCAGTGTATTTCGTCCGTCTGCCTGTTCTGTTCCCCATTCTGGCTCTGGTGAATTCTCTCACCCTCCCGTGCTTCTGACTGTACCCAGTGCTTGTATAAATAAATCAATCTTTAAAAAAAAGATTGAAAAAAATAAAAAAAAAGTTTATGGGGTTATAGCAATGATTAGATGAATCAATATTTCTAAAGTATTCACAACACTACATAGCACATTGTTAAGCTGCTACATTCTACTAATATCTTCAGAAAACTGCAATCACAAATTTGCTTATTTAATGTACTACATAATAAATTAACACTTTGTTCTCACAAAATTTCTGAAATATTGTAAGAAACTCATGTCCAATATTATTAACTATATAATACCAAAAAGTTTCCTTTACATCAGTGATATTCTTAATGAATAAAGTTGTATAAACTTGATGTTACAATACACTGGTAGAAAAAGACCTACGATGCAGATCCTTTTATCAGTATTAATAGAATGAAATACTCTTTTATTCATAAAGAAATGTTATCTCCACTTCAAATTTAGTAAGTACTTTATGTTGTGCCATTAAATAATTTAAAGATTTATTACTTACCACTAAATGTCCTGGGCTTTTTAGCTATATACTCCTTCCATTTTCTTGAACTGAGTTGGCTGGGAGGTGGGGTAGGTACGTTACTAACAGTACATGGCAGTACAAAAAGAGCACCAACCTGGACATGACAGAGCATGTTTTTAGCAACTGCATACTGAGAATAACTCTAATATACTCTTTCCCAACAACTCCACTATGAAAACTAAAGTAACAAGAACTCCCACCTCCCCTTAAAACAAATACAAACAAACAAAGAGAGTCACTGAAAATTATAGGTGTCCCTTTTTTACTGAGACACAGGACTCTGAAAATTTTGCTCATTATAATATTTGCTAGAAGTTCTGGTTGTGGGTATAATTTCTTTGTATGTCTAGAAACCAATGAGAAGACAGAAGTTCTACCATCAAAAGATTATGTCATACCTAGTCATAATTTCATAATCTTTTGATTGGATGGATTATTGTTCTGGTTTCAAAATAAGAATGTATCTGAAGGTAATTTCAAGACGTTTATTCCTAAACATCAGAGATTTAATGTTAACAGGTATAAATTGCAAATAAATCAATGAATCATCTGCCAGAAAACATATAGCAATTACTGATTAATGAGCAATTCCACTTATTCATCTTTGTATTCCCAGGGCTAGGCATATAGATATTTATTAAATATTTGGTCTCTCAAAACCATCGTATTATATTTAAGCAAATTCTCAATTTGATTAAACAGTGAATAAAACAAACTAACTCTGAAACTCTATTTTGCCTGCTATTTTAAAAATGTAAGCTACAACAATCAGCACATCCCAACAAATATTTTTTTCCCCTTTTTAAGGCAAAGCATATGCCATAGATGTCAAATCTAATGCAAAATCACCTTCTATTTTTCTATATAGATGAATGGGTTACATATATATATAATATAAAATACTCAGTTTATAAAAAATAGTTTATAAAATATAAAACGCTCAGTTATACTTAATATTGCTATTTACTACTTTTACTCATATACACCTAATTATCATATATGAAAATAAGTATATCAGGAACAAAATGAGGGTAAAATTAAATATACCTATATTTCCTTATTATTACAGCTAAAACCTCTTTTAATAGAAGTCTAATTGTATTGTATGTAGTCAAGTGTTAGACAATATCAACAAAAATATTTAGCAATGAAAGATGGAGCTTCCATATGATCCAGCAATTCCACTCCTAGGTATTTACCCAAAGGACACAGAAACATTAATTCAAAAAGGCACCTGCACCCCTATGTTTATCACAGCACTATTTACAATAGGTAAGCTATGGAAACAACCTAAATGCCCAAAAATAGATGACTGGATCAAGAAGATGTGGTACATATACACAATGGAATATTACTCAGCAATCAAAAAAGATAAACTCATACAATTTGCAGCAACATGGATGGTGCTGGAAGGGATCATGCTCAGAGAAATAAGCCAGAAAGAAAAAAAATATACCGTATGGTCTCACTCATAGCAGGAATTTAGAAAACCTAAATAATGGACCAGGAAAAAGACTAATTATACTAAAGTAAAAATCAAAATCAACAAGCAACTATAAACCAAAGACACACTACCGGGGTGGAGGTAGGAAGTGGGGGAGTAAGATTAAAAAAAGGGAGTTGGGGGACTATAACCAACATGAAAATGCATACACTGTGCAAAAATGAAAAATGATGTAAAAATATATAAAATTTAAAAAAATGAAAAAAGAAAGCAAAAAAATTTAGCAATGGAAAAATAATCATTTAGCATGAAAGAGAGATGTTTAATTTTTTAAATATTAAATATTAGTTCTTTCTAGCATAAATGAGACTTCATAGCCCAAGTTTCATGACACTACTGCATAGCCCAAAGAGCACACTGAGCTGTAGTGTGACTATGCCAGATCAGGGCTGAGTGATAGTTTGACAATTCTATAACTGCTGTTATTACAGTTATAGATTACAATTTAGAGAAGCTTAAAGCAGTTCATGCTTAAAGTCTGATATAAATGTACCCAAACCCATCACAGGCAAACAAGTGGTCACTTTTTTCAAAGTGCCTACATTCGATTAAATATTTGCTACAAATAAACTATAATTCCCTGCAAAATAAATTTACATCAATTGCTTCTATTGCATTCCTATCAAACTTGAATTTTGATAACTTATTCTCACTCAGACCTTAATCATTAGATAGACTCCAAGACTTACCCTTTTAAGTTATCACTCTGTCTCCAGAATTTAAGTCAAATGAAACCACAAACCTCAGTTTCAAACCCTTAATCTTTACAGTGGACATCATTTTCGATAAGCAGTCACTATGGCAATCATGCTTCCAGCTTTGCTACTCTCTTTGAGAAAAACATTTCCTGGCACATGATCAGCAGATAGCATGTCAACACAGCTTGTCTTTTTCTAATGCAATAAACTTACTCCGAGAGGCATTTATCTATCTATACTAGAGCTAATCATTTTTTTTTAAGCTCAGAACTTGACTTAGGATTACATAAATCAATGCAATTCATATTCTATGAAAGCTTCCAAAGGGGAAGCCCTGTGCATTATTTTCTCTCCAATATTTGAAATAAGCGCCTGGCACACATAGCAGGCAGTCCAAAAAACAAAACAACATTGCTGGACAAATGAAAAACAAATTATAAAGCACTGGCTCTATTTTAAGGAATTAGCATGTAAGGAACTATTTTCCTTAAAAATGTAAAAAACTAACAATGACCCAATGTAAAATGTCTACATTTAAAAATATAATAAATTACGATGTTTGTTTCCAAATTTCATCTCTCACGACCCAATGTAAAATCTCCACATTTAAAAATATAATGGTGAAATTATATGTTTCCAAAATTTATCTCTTTGGCTGCATCAAAGTAGGAATGTATTTATAAAGTTCCATGTATACCCCTTGCTGATAAAATGTAGTGTAATATTTTATATCACTCTCTAAGAAGCAATAAAAATGACAATATAGTGCAACAAATTTCGATCAAAACAGTTGAAACTACAATATTAGTGGATACCAATAGTTTAGCTTCCTTAGAGAATTACTGCAGCCTATCTTCAATAACTAGACAAAGAATCATTTTATATGTTTTAAAAAATTATACGTTATGTCTGATTTTGACCTGAAACGTTATCAATAAAACTAATTGTTAAAAATTCTATTAACAATTCAATGTATCAGGGCTCCCTGGTGGCCTAAGGGCTAAGTCTCAGTGCTATCACCAGTAAGGCCTGAGTTGGATCCCCAGCCAGGGAGCTAACCCACATGGCGCGGCAGACCTCTCAACTCGCCCGCTGCTCCCCTCAGCAGTGTAATTTCATAGATCGGCCTATTCTGCTCCCCACTCTGTCTCCAGTGAATTCTCTCACTACCACCACTATCCTGCACCTCTGGCCTACACCCCAGTTCTTCTAATAAATAAATAATAAATAAATCTTCAATGTTTCTATAATATTTCAGTAATCTTATCACATATGTAATATCTTTCAGTCACATAAACTTCAAGACTAAAAATTAGTTAGCGACTATCATTTATATCATACTTTACAGTTTATAAAAAATATACCCCAATTTGGTTTTCATTACTGCTTGAAATTGGTAAAGTAGGGATTATTTCCAATTTCCAATTTAAAAAGCTATAGACCGGTGAGTAGCAGAGCTAGCACTTAAACCCAGGTTTCTAAAAGTACACATTTTCTTGAGATTTTCTCCCTCATTTGACAAGTGAGATGATTATGATAAATGATATTCTCATTCCTAGAATAAAGAGGCCCCCAAAGCCAAATGATTAGGAGACTAGATAGGGTCACACAGAAAAATACTTAGTTATTTGGGTTAAAATTAGAACAGTTTTAGGACCTGGTGGCACAGGCAGCTGAGAGCAGCCCTGTGAAGCTGTCTGCAGCCTATGCAGTGCCAGTTCACCCTCCCACACAACTGGCCTCTACGCCAGTTCTTATATAAATAAATAAATCTTTAAAAAATAACAACGATTTTATTGTTTTAATTATCAGTGTTTTTTCTTCATTTTTTTAACTATGCCACTTCAGAAAACTTCTATGCACGTTTCTGTAGATCTATGTTCTTAGTAATCTATGCTTACCTCCTTCCTTACTTCCTATCTCAGTTTGTTTATTTTCTTCATAGTTATTATTTATTTTCTAGTTTTCCCACCAAAATATAAGTTCCATGAAGACAGAGGCTTCATCCATACAATTCCTGCTTGGAGCCCTAATACCTACTACAGTGCCTAGCACACAGTAGGATATATGATGGATAAATAATAAAAGACAAATGTTTAAATTTAAAAATTTAGCACATTTGGTATTCTTAGAGGATGAATGCATAGGTTAATATTATACTCTAGGCTGCTCAATCAAATGCCACTGCTTCAAATGAGTACTTTGGCACACTATTTATATGACTATTCATTTTTATGGGGAAAAAAGGCAGTAAGTAAAAATTTTAAGTTACCATATCATCAAGCAACTTGAGGTGAAAATCATTCCCTTTACTATATCAATTTTCCAAAAGAATTAAAATCAAGATTTGATTATAGTGCCAGAAAGGAAGGACTATAATTATAAATAATCATTTTCCTCCCTGAATAACTGTTTGATAATAATCAATTTGGTGATAAAACAGTAAGAAAATGTAACTGCCAATAGTAAATATTGGCAATATTGTAAATGAAGACTTTGTGAGTTAGAAATCATTTTCATAAAAACAAAGTAGTTGAATAAACAGAAAAGTAAACTTAGTTTTTCTTCTTAAAAATGTACTTGACCTTATACAATTTCACTTAAAATTTTTATGTGTAGTTTAATAAATGTTTAAATATACTAATTTGATCACATCATCATCCATGTACATAAAACTACTAAAAGAGCTATAAATAGCCTCAATATAACTAGAAGAAAGAAAAAGTAAAACTTCAGAAATTTTTCTCCCTCTAACCTCCTTTCCTACATGAAAAAGGTTAAAGGAGTAGATTAACAATAATCTAATGTGTTCTACAATTTTAAAAAATTATCAGTCATCAAGCATATTTCTGAAACTCTTCTAACAACATAACATCACTTCAGGTCTGCAGAAGACTTTAGAGTTACTATGAAATGCCCAAAATATCCTACTACAAATTATAAACAAAATCTTGTATTAAATCAGAGAAGCCAAATCATCATGAAAAGCAGATTAAAAACTACATTCCCTTTTCTCACATATTCGTACATGTCAGGTTTAAAAATAACAACAAAAAAATAACTTTCTATACCTTGTCACATAGAGAAGAAATCTGCTCCATCAACAATACAGAATTCTGTTTGGTATTGTTTTTTGTCAATCCTCTGTACTAAGGAGTTAAAGAATTGAAGGAATGGAACATACTAAAGCCACTCAACTGTTACTTTAAATGAGTAAATCATGTATCTCAAAACCAAGACTATAAAAGAAAACTCAATTAACTAACTTTTAAAAATAAATGATGACTAGACACAATTCTATACCCTGATATTAGTTTGATTCTGCAAGTCACAAGGTACATAAATGCATTTAATTAAAAATTGTAGCTGGGCCTCCCCAGTGGCGCAGCACTTGAGCGCTGGGCTGTGAAGCTGCCCGCAGCCTCTGCAGTGCTGGTTCGATCCCCGGCTGCCAGAAAGGGTCCCATATGGTGCGACAGACCTCTCCTGCCACCCACTGCTCCCCTCAGCAGTGTACTTCATCAGTCTGCCTGTTCTGTTCCCCGCTCTGGCTCTGGTGAATTCTCTCACCCTCTCACGCTTCTGACTGTACCCAGTGCTTGCATAAATAAATAAATCGTTAAAAAAATAAAATAAAAATAAAAATTGTAGCTGTATTGAATATCATATATTTTTTTAAAAACCAGCATGGTCAAATATCTAAATGTGAAGTGGTAAGGGAACACTCGGTCTGACACAGAAAATGTAATATAATATGAACATACAAATGAAATGAACATGTAAATGAAAGGATACAACTCAAATTCAATGTCTGACATATAGCAGGAGGGTAGATCTGATAACTTTATCAACTGCACAAATTCTAAAGCAGGGCCATAATAATGGAAAACCTAGAAAAGAGATTAAAATTAGGTAATACCTTAAATATTATAAATGAAAGTAAACATATAGTGATTATGGTTTATAACTTTAAAATGAATCTTTAAAAGCAGGTATTTCATATCATGCAAACCAAATATTTAATCCTCTAGAACAGACAAAAATTTCTTTAGAATTACTTGCATTTAAAAATAAGTATATAGAAAAGTGGGACAACAACAGATACTTCTTAAATTATATCTCTTAGCTCATTTAATCCTCATACTAACTTTGCAAGATAATTGTGCTATTATTATCTCCATTTTACAAATGAGTTAATCAATCTACCAAGATAACAATATCACACAGGTGACAGAGTCAGGTTTCAAAACCGAATCTAGCTAATAGCAAAGTCTGTTCTCTTTCTATTACATCACATTCTCTCCAATGTGAGTCTTAGCAAGGTCACACAGTGAAGTCTAAAACAAAGGTAGTTTCAGGCCCAAAGTAATCTAAAATATGACCATTTCATTATTTTAAAAAACGTAAAACAATTATAGTTTTGCCAGCATTCTATACCTATACCATGCTATAATTTAACTAAGCATATAATTAAAATAAAAGTTACATCAGCATGCATACTTATACATGTATATTAGGAATGTTAATTCAACATTCAAACATATCTTATAGGAACAAAAACATGCATGAATGACAGATGCAAAATAAAAAGCTAAACATAGATTACCTTCGGCAAATTATTCTTATCCTTTGATGGTATTGTTTTTTGGGCAAGAAAGCAAGCATTTAAATTAGATGCACTAAAATTCTTAGGTGTGACTCCTTTTAAACAAAATTCAGGGAAACTAATTTCAAATCCAAACTGAAAAAAAAGCCAAGAAAACAGTTACAGATACCAAAAATAAAGTTACAAAGAGTAGTACAATGTAAAATTTAGGAGAAAAATGTGTCAATGTATGTTTGATTCTTCATGGAAGTATGGTTCTTCCATTTATGCACACATCCTTCCTATTTTAACTTACACATGCATTTCCATAAAAGTACTTCTTGGCCCTCCACTAGCCCACAAAAGTATATTAAGCCCATTCCATGCAACCACAGAACCAAATAACCTCCTCTACATTTATATGCTCAATATCTGGCTTCCAACCAGTCTGAAAGTTTTGCAGAACTTGTCTGTTTTATTCATCACTATATTCTTAAAACAGTGCCTCTCATACAGTTTGTTATCAGTATAAATTGTTGATGAAAAGATGAATTTCTATAGTAGTGGTGGTGCTAATAATCTCAATAATAATGAACATTTACTGAGTGGGTACTTTGTGGTTTAAATAAATCAATCCTCATAATAATAATTCTCATGTGAGATAGAAAGTACTGTTAATTTTATTTAAAGATGATGACAACTGTGGCACCAAGACTAAGTATTACCCAATATGTCACACGAAACTAGCAAGAAAGAGAGTTGGGTTTTTAATGCACTCAATCTAACGTTAGAATCTCTATCTTTAAAATCACTACAGTGCCTCTAGGCTAAAAGCTATTCTCTACCCAAAAGAGTGATTTCCAGTTTTAAATGCATCCTGGGGAGAAAAGAACATTGAATTCCCTATTCATAAAAGATTGAAAGAATCACATAAAAACTCTCCCACTAATTGTGTGAAAACATGCAGTTTCAGAAAAGGTATACAAAAAGCAATTTTCCTAGCTAATTGCAACTTACATTCATTCTAGTTGGCTACATGTTTTATGTACAAGAAAAGTACTGGCAGAAGTTTACCTGCGTATTTAATTTTCCCAAGAAAAGAATGAGTCAGCATATAAATCAACAATAAGGATCCAGTGACATGAATTCCTATTGTCTTAGGTTTTATTAAGTCATTACTGAGGATGAATTGAAAAGGGGAAAAGTATGGTAATCAGTATAATAAACCTTTATAGGAAGAAATGCAAGAAACTAGTCATGCTTTCACGGACCCTAAACAATCATTAAGAAACTTTCTTATTGGGCCTACCTGGAGGCTCAAGGGGTTGGGACACAACCTATGAAGCTGTCCACAGCCACTGCAGCATGAGTTCGATCCCCAGCCAGGGAGCTACCCACATGGTGCAGCAGACCTCTCCTGTCTCGCCCGCTGCCCCCCTCAGCAGTGTATTTCTGTCAATCTACCTATTCTGTTACCTACTCTGTTTCTGGTGAATCCGCTCACCACCCACACCTCTGGCCTGTACCCCAGTTCTTGTATGCATAAATAAATAAATCTTTTTTTAAAAAAGAAACTTTCTTGTTTTGGTTTTTTTTTAGTTTTATTTATATAAAACACCAAGAACACTTATTTCAACATGGACACAACCTATAAAAACTACCAAACATAGTCATTTTTGAAAATAAATTCCAAAGTAGAATTGGATCTCACTGAAATTGAGATTAGAAGGATTCAAATAATGAAATCTAAGATTTTCATCTTGTACTGGAGAAATCTGGGGACTGGTAAGGTTAAATAAAATTGTTCAAAATCAAAGAGTAGGTTGGCAGATGGCACAGATCACCTAAAACAGTATTACAGGTAAGAAAATATGTTTTAAGTCATCTTCCAAGGGTTTAGAATGTGATAAAATAAAGCAACTTGGATAAATAAGATGCACTCAACTAATGTCAAAATCCTACATTTTAAAAGTATATTACATTCAGAACTGCATAGGTTCAAAACATGATCACGGTAATTTAATTTAATTAAAACTGAATCAAATAAAAAATTAAGTTCTTTGGTTGAAGTAGAAATATACGAGGTGCTGGTTGGCAATATAAGGCTTGCAAGTACTGTATCAGCACGAAAGAAAACATGTATTATTGCAGAAAATTCTACATATACATTACTATTTTATAACATCTTTATAATTACATTTTCATTAAGATTTATTTAAATTATGTGTTGTCAGTAAAGTTGAAAGGTCTGCTTTGCAAACTGTGATAACTGAGAAATCTACTTACTTTTCGTTCCCATATCTGAATCTTTCCCCTCCATAATTCCTTTGAATCAACAGCATGTTTGAGATCTTCCGTAGATATAACATTAGCAGACAGGTATTCTGCAATTTTCTGACAATTTCTAGAAATAAAAGATTAGGATAATTAAATGCAGGGATTTTATTTTAATTAGATTTAATGATTATAGTTAACATAAAAGCCTAACAGGTAAAAATGCAGTTTATATTGTCCCTTTTATCTACTTTAACTACTTTTTTAAATAATACAGAACATCCATTAAGTCAGTCTCTTCTGAGTTGCTATCACATGTTTATTTAATCCCAACATTCTCATGAATGCAGAGTAATTACCTTTAATTCAACAGATAGAGAAATAGACCTTCGTCTTACTATATATGGCTTACGTGTGCCAGATGGAGACGAACATTAATACAAAGACTCAATGTGATTCCTTACCATCATAAGAATAACTGCTTTCCTAAATTGTTCCCACAGCTTTGTATGGGATTCCATAACAGCAGTTATTACATATTACGAAGACTATTTGCACTCCTGTTTCTCCCTGTATGTCAGTGAAATAGACTGACTCTCACTTCCTTAAGAAGCTAGCATCTAGGCCTCCCCTGGTGGTGCAGTGGTTGAGCGCTGGGCTGCAAAGCTGCCCGCAGCCTCTACAGTGCCAGTTTTGATTCCTGGTCACCAGCGAGGGTCCCACATGGTGTGCAGACCTCTCCTGCCGTGCCCGCTGCTCCCCTCAGCAGTGTATTTCGTTAGTCTGCTAGCATCTATTGCTATGTTTGGCATGAAGTTACTGTGCAACAATAGTTGTAGAATTAAAAAAAAATCATGAAGCTAATAAATTCAATTTGAATACTTACTTAAGGATTAGAACTAGAACAGACAATTGATCCTTATGAAAATGTTATAAAGCACAAGAGTAAATATTTCTATATCGGTGCATAAAACAAAAAAAGTATGACATCACACACCCATGTTATCATCGTGATACTCAATGAACAACATAAGCCAATTTAAAAGCACACACATTTGAAGAATTTATGTGCAATAGTAGTTACAAAATAGCATTAATATTTACTAAAACCATAAGCATCTGAAAAATAAAGTAGGAAATAAGAAAAAATCTAGATTCTTAATAGAGAAATCTCTAATCACAGTATGACAAAACTATCTTGTCACACTAAAAAAAAAAAAAAAATTCAAATTCTGAGTCTATTACAAACAAGATAGTATGTTATTGTAAAAATAAACAGACTATTATCAAATATGAACAAGAAACTTACATTTCACAATGATTTCCTGCAATAGTAATTTTTGCTGAATACCATTCCCTCAAATGTTTTAATGCTCCTACAGCAGGTAAACAGTCTTTCAATTTAGGGGGATTTTTGTCAGAAAGCAACAGTATTATATCTATCATTGCTCTACCTAGAAAGAGAAAACACATTTTTGTAGTTTTTCAAAGATGTTTGACAAGTCTCAACAGTACCCTGAACAAAATAGTACCCTGCATTTTATGTTTATTTAGAAGATCAAGGACAATTTTAACTTTCATTTTTTAAATTCTTCAAAACAATACACATCTTTAGGAGTACAAAATTTTAAAAAGTTCACAATTTGATTTAAAGTCATATTATCCTGTAATAGCTAGCATATGCTATAAAACAATGAACTATATATCATAATTACTTGCCAATTCTATTTCAGTAGTTAATTATACACATTACTCTTGAAATCATCAATGCTATTGTAATGAACAGAGGAAAAACAAAAACCTGTGCAATTTCATTACATTTTTTATACTTAATTTTGCATACAAAAGGGAATGAGTTAGTTCAAATAAATTATTTCTCTTTTAAAAGAACAATAAAACATTTAGAAAACTTAATTATACTAACAATATCATTGGTTCCTGAGAAAGAAGATAACTTCATAAAACTTTAAATTCCATGAAATTATAAATTACAGAAGGATCAGAAATAGCAAAAATGAAACAAAAACCAGAGAAAAATTTGACAATGAACATATTTCAATTTGCCATATCAACTTAGTGTACTTCAGTGCATATTTTGAAATGGACACATTTCATTTTAAAAAATGATATATTTAGCAATATATTCAGTTACTTTCCACATGGGAGCAATTGTGCTAAAATCCGAGCTTTGAAATAAGGATTAGACTGTGAGATATGAAGACTGTGAGATATGAAGTCCTTTCTGGTAATCATGTATGCTTCCCTCATCACTGTATGCTTCTCTCTTAATACCGTATTTGACATATAGTCAACACAACAAATACCGCCTTAATAAATGACCTTCAATAATCAACATATTCAGAAAGGAAAGCTCTTCAAATGTATTTGTTGATGGCAAACTGTACCAACCTTTGGATGCCAGTTATCTGAGTCCCACCAAAAATGATTAAGGCAAAAAAAAACAGTTTTAAGAATAATAAGATACAGTATTTCATAAAATATGGTTTCCATTATTAAAGGAAAAAGAGAGTTTTGGTGAAAAGAAAAAAGTAAATAAAAAGCTACTTTTACTGTACGATTTTCTATTTGACAATGTGCATAGTTATGTCATACGATAGAAGAATTGTTGCCCAAATGATCTAGGTTAAAGATCTTTTGCCTGGAGTGCATACGGTACAAAAGAATGCTATGTAGTGTATTCTTTTTCAGCAAAACTAAATCAGGAAAGAGAGATGGGTATTTAGCTTGCTCAGTTCTGATTTTTGTCTAACTAAATGAAAACAATTAAGAGTACTTACTATAATGTTTTAATAAAGTACTAATAGAAAATGTTTTGTAGACCGGGCACGCAGGGAGTGCGTCCCCGCATCGCCACTTTAGAACAGGGACATTTCTTCAGTAAATACTGCATGAAACCGGCAGAAGGCTCCCGGAGAAGCCAGTGGTGAGCTGGGAAGTTCGCCCATGCCAGGCCCATCTGGCCTGCAGTCCCAGCCCAGAGGGGGGGCTTGAACCCACCGCCAGGGCAGACAGGGCACACAGAGGAGTGTGAACACGTGTCGCCTTTTTAGAACAGAGACCTTGCTTCAGTAAAACCTGCTTGAAACCGGCAGATGGCTCCTGGAAGAGCCAGAGGTGAGCAGGGAAGTTCACCCAAGATGCCAGCCAGTACCAGCAACACAGTGTCCCAATGCATACGGCAAATTAGAAAACAGACAGTAGGGAGATGAAAAACCACATGCAACCCAGCAACACCTCAGGAAAAAAGCAAACCACAAAAAGAAAACCACCCCCCAGATTGCAATGACAGTAACTTGGAAGTCCTTCTGAGCCTTCCAGAAAGAGAATTTAAAATTGCCATGATTAAAAAACTGACAGAAGTCATAAAGGAAAACAATGATAAGGGAAAAATAATCAACGATCAGAAGAATGAAATTGAGTCCCTAAAGAGGGAAGTAAAAGAAATGCAGGAGATCAAAAAATTAATGGAGGTGCTAAAGAACTCTGGGAAAAGCAATGAAAGCAGAATAGATGAAATGGAAGAACAAATAAGTACTCTTGAAGACACAGAAATAAAAAGAACCAAAACAGAAAAACGAAGGAAAAAGACTGAAGAAAGGCTTCGAGAACTATCTGACTCCATGAGGAAAGGAAATATAAGAGTTATAGGAATCCCAGAAGGAGAAGAGAGACATGTAGGAACAAAGAAAATATTCAAGGAGATAATTGAAGAGAACTTCCCAAACGTGAAAAAGGAGCTGAAAATTGATATACAAAAAGCAAGAAGAACACCAAACTTCCACAATGAAAGGAAAAATAAGGCAAGACACATAATAAAGCTCCCAAGAATCCAGGACAAGGGAAAAATAATGAAGCTGACAAGAGGGAAGAAACAGATAACATTCAAAGGAAAACCAATCAGGCTGACATCTGACTTCTCCGAAGAAACACTACGGGCAAGGAGAGAGTGGAGGGACATAGTCAACAGACTCCAAGAAAACAGATGCCAGCCAAGAATACTCTATCCCGCAAAGCTCTCCTTCCTCTATGAAGAAAGAATAAGGACCTTCCCAGACAAACAGAACTCTGGAATTTCATTATGACTAAACCCCCACTCCAAAAAATACTACAAGGAGTCCTAAAGCCAGGACCTCAGAGGGACGAATAACAACAAAAGAAGGTCAAGAAAAAAAAAAAAGTTATTAAAAGAATAAATAAATAAAATCAAAGGAAAGACAAACACAATGGCAAATACAGATGTTAACATACCAATATTAACTCTAAATGTAAATGGACTAAACTCTTCAATAAAAAGACAGAGTCGCAGGCTGGATTAAGAAACAAAATCCAACCTTTTGCTGTCTCCAGGAAACACATTTAGCTACAGAAGACAAAAACAGACTCAAAGTTAAGGATGGAAAACAATTCTACAAGCAAACGGACCAAAAAGAAAGCAGGAACAGCTATACATATAACAGATAAAACAGATTTCAAACTCAAAAAGATAAAAAGACACCCCAACGGTCACTACACTATGATCAAGGGGACAATACTTCAAGAAGAAATAACACTCATTAACATATATTCACCAAACGAAGGAGCACCAAAATATATCAGACAACTATTGCCATCTCTGAAAACAGACATCAGAGAAAACACATACGTAGTGGGAGACTTCAACACACCACTATCAACAATGGATAGATCAACGAGACAAAAAATAAGTAAAGACAATAAAGCTCTAAATAAGGATCTAGAGCGCTTGGGCTTAACAGACATCTACAGAACACTAAACCCCCAAAAAATCTGAATACACATTTTTCTCAAGTGCACACGGATCATTCTCCAGGATTGATCACATACTGGGACACAAGACAAAAATCAACAGATACACCAAGATTGAAATCATACCAACCATCTTTTCTGACCATGAAGGCATCAAACTAGAAATAAACCACAAAAAGAAGGCAAGGAACTCTCTTACTTCATGGAGATTGAAAACCACACTTCTGGAAGACCACTGGACTAACGAGGAGATCAAAGAAGAAATTAAAAAATTCTTTGAATTGAATGACAAGGAGGACACCAATTTCCTAAATGTATGGGATGCAGCAAAAGCTCTTTCCTCTTATTACTATAAGAGGAAAATATACAGCAATAGAGGCTCACATCAAGAAACAAGAAAGAACTCAAAGAAACAACCTAATCTCGAAGCTCAAAGATCTAGAAAAAGAACAACAACAAAAAAAAAACCCCAAAACCAGTAGAAGAAAAGAAATAATAAAAACCAAAGCAGAAATAAATGAAATCGAAACTAAAAAAACAATCCAAAAGATCAATGAAACCAAGAGCTGGTTCTTTGAAAAAATAAATAAAATAGACAAACCCCTAGCCAGGTTCACAAAGGAAAAAAGGGAGAAAGCACAAATAAACAGGATCATATGAAAGAGGAGAAATCACAACGGACACAGCAGAAATCAAAAGAATAATCAGTAACTACTATGAACAGTTATATGGAAACAAGTTCAACAATCAAGAGGAGATGGACAAATTCCTACAACTCTACAATCACCCAAAGCTAGATAAAGAAGAAATAGAATACCTAAACAGACCAATTACAGGCAGCGAAATTGAAATGGTAATCAAAAACCTCCCGAAAAACAAAAGCCCAGGACCTGATGGATTTACAAATGAATTCTGGGCCTCCCCGGTGGCGCAGCGGTTGAGCGCTGGGTTGCGAAGCTGCCCGCAGCCTCTGGGGCGCTGGTTCGATCCCCGGCTGCTCCCCGGCCACCGGAGGAGGGTCCCACATGGCGCGCAGACCTCTCCTGCCGCCCGCTGCTCCCCTCAGCAGTGTACTTCGGTCCTTCTGCCTGCTCTGCTCCCCGCTCTGGCTCTGGTGAATTCTCTCACCCTCCCGCACTTCTGACTGTACCCAGTGCATGTATAAACAAAACAAACAAATAAAACATGCCTCTATAAAAAAAAAAACAAAAACAAAAAAAAAAAAAAAAAAACAAAAAAAAAAAAATACAAATGAATTCTACCAAACATTCAGAGACGAATTAGTGCCTATCTTTCACAAACTCTTCCAAAAAAATTGAGAAAGAAGGGATAATACCAAACACGTTCTATGAAGCCAACATTACACTAATACCAAAACCGAACAAGGACAACACAAAAAAGGAAAACTACAGGCCAGTCTCCCTAATGAACACTGATGCAAAAATCCTCAATAAAATTTTAGCTATCAGAATCCAACAATGTATCCATAAGATAATTCACCACGACCAAGTAGGAATCATTCCAGGGACACAAGGATGGTTTAACATCCGAAAATCAATCAACGTTATCCAACACATCAACAAAAAGAAATATAAAAACCATATGATAATATCAATAGATGCTGAGAAAGCTTTCGACAAAGTGCAACACCCATTCATGATAAAAGCCCTTGAAATTCTTGGGATACAAGGAACACACCTTAACATCATAAAGGCCATCTATGACAAGCCAACAGCCAGTATCATTCTCAATGGTGAAAAGCTGAAAGCAATTCCATTAACATCTGGAACAAGACAAGGATGTCCACTCTCACCACTGCTTTTCAATATAATACTGGAAGTCCTAGCCAGAGCAATAAGACAAGAGAAAGACATACAAGGAATCCAAATAGGAAAAGAAGAGGTCAAACTATCACTATTTGCAGATGATACGATAATATACATAGAGAACCCCAAAAACTCCACAGAAAAACTAATTCAACTAATCAATCAGTTCAGTAAAGTGGCAGGATACAAAATCAACACGCAAAAGTCAGTAGCCTTCCCATACACAAACAATAAATCTGAAGAAGAAATAAAAAAAAAATCCCTTTTATTATCGAAACAAAAAAAATCAAATATTTGGGAATAAATCTAACAAAGAGGTAAAGGACCTATACAAAGAAAACTATAAAACACTGTTAAAAGAAATAGAAGAAGACACAAAGAAATGGAAAGACATCCCCTGCTCATGGATTGGAAGAATAAACATTATTAAAATGGCCATCCTACCAAAAGCAATATACAGATTCAATGCCATTCCAATAAAAATCTCAATGTCATTCTTCAAAGAAATAGAATAATTATTGATGAAATTCATATGGAATCACCAAAAATCCCGTATAGCCAAAGCTCTCCTGAAAAAAAAAGAAGGGAATGGAGGCATTACACGCCCAGACTTCAAACTATACTACAAAGCCATAATCATCAAAACTGCATGGTATTGGAACAAGAACAGACACACAGACCAATGGAATCGAATAGAAAATCCAGAAATAAACCCACAGATTTATGGTCAACTAATCTTTGACAAAGGAGCAAAGACTATGCATTGGAGCAAAGAAAGTTTGTTCAATAAATGGTGCTGGGAAAACTGGGTCGCTACACACAAAAGAATGAGGCTTGACCACTACCTCACACCATACACAAAAATCAACTCAAAATGGATTAAAGAACTAGACATAAGACCTGAAACCATAAAATACATAGAAGGAAATATAAGCGAAACACTACGTGATATGCACATCAAAGACATCTTTACAGACACATCACCCAAAGCAGTGATACTGAAGGCAAAGATAAACAGCTGGGACTACATCAAATTAAAGAGCTTCTGCACAGCAAAAGAGACAATAACCAAAATAAAGAGAAACCCCACCGAGTGGGAGAACATTTTTGCACACAACACTAATGATAAAGGACTGATCACAAAAATCTACAAAGAGCTGATGAGAGTCAACAAAAACAAAGAAAATAATCCAGTCAATAAACGGGCAGAAGAGCTAAAAAGAAACTTCTCTGAAGAGGAAATGCAAATGGCCAACAGGCATATGAAAAATGTTCAACATCACTTGTAATCAGAGAAATGCAAATCAAAACTACCATGAGATACCATCTGACACCAGTGAGAATGGCACATATTAAAAAAACTAGCAACAGCAAATGTTGGCGAGGTTGTAGAGAAAAAGGAACTCTCCTGCACTGCTGGTGGGAGTGCAAACTGGTCCAACCACTATGGAGAGCTGTGTGGAGATTTCTGGACCTACTAAACAGAGCTTCCATATGATCCAGCAATTCCACACCTAGGTATTTACCCAAAGGACACAGAAACATCAATTCCAAAGAACACCTGCACCCCTATGTTTATAGCAGCACTGTTTTCAATAGCTAAGCTTTGGAAACAGCCCAAATGCCCAAAAATAGATGACTGGATCCAGAAGATGTGGTACATATACACCATGGAATATTACTCAGCATTCAAAAAAGATAAACACATGCAATTTGCAGCAACATGAATGGTGCTGGAAGGGATGCTCAGCAAAATATGCCAGAAAGAAAAAGAAAAATACCGGAAGGTCTCACTCATAGCAGGAATCTAGAAAACTTAAATAAGGGACCAGGAAAAAGAATAACTATAAGAAAGTAAAAATCAAAATCAACAAAAAACTATGAACCAGAGACACTATCTGGGGGGTGGGGGGCGGGGAGGGGAGGGATTGGGGTCAAAATAAGGGGGTTGCAATTGTATGGGGAATATAAAAATAAAAAGAGAGAGAGAGAGAGAGAAAAAAATCTTTAAAAAAAAGAAAATGTTTTGTATCAATTTCTATTAAGAAATTATGTTTCATTCTTAAGTTGAAAATTAGAAGTGAGAACTCAAGCATAAAGATTAAATTTAGAGAAAATATAAGGTACAAATTGCTGAAAGCTGTCATAAAATATTACCAGGAGCAGGAAGTTTGTCTGATAACTGATGCAAATTTTCTGCAGATTCTTCATATAGCCTAAAATAAAAAGTAAGTTAGAGAAGAAAGCCACACATACACATTACATATAATCATAATCGGTAACACTAATTAAATGGATCTATATGTCAGACCCTGTTACGTATTAGACATACTATTTCATTTAATCTTCATAACAATCCCATGAATCACTACAATATTATCACCATCACTCCTACTAAATAATTTGTTTAAAATCACTTAATAAGTAGGAGTGAAAGGCAGGAATGAAACCTTCAGTCCAATTTTTTGGCTACACGCAAAAGCAAACAACAGTAACAAAAAAGAAAAGACACTCACTATATTCCATTTAGTATATTAAATATAAATCTTACAAATAGACTAAAATTTAAAAGTCGGGTACTGCTAAGTATTCAATAAAGATAGTGATTTTCTCTGAATGGCATACAACAGCCCTGATTAGAAAATATTATGTCCTACTCTAATTCTTCAGAATCTACTTGTTTTACCCAAATAATGAAATTTTCTCAAAATAATTTATTACATTGCATAAAGCTATTTAAATCCCTTATTATAAACCTTCGAATGTCTAAAAAACTTAATGTGTCTTATGGTATAGTTTTCAAGCTCCCTCTTGTGGAAATAATTATTAGACCACTTACTAGAAATATTTACTTTTACATTCATCATTTTTTAATAGTAGAAAAACACAGAATGATAACTCTGCTCTAAGACTGAAAAGCTCCTGAAAAAAATCTCCTGTAAGGATCTTGACATTTTAAGGATGACAAAATAAAGGACCAGAGATGTGACATGACAAGCAAAACAGCATAAAATTATAGACTACCTCTACTATCCCCTGGCTAAACGCGTTTCCCTCAGGTCTACAATGTCTCCCTCCATTAGTCAAAACAAACAGATTTGAAAATAGAAAAAGGAAAATTTTTCAAGTTTACAGCAATTTATAGAAATATTAAAATATGTGGACACTAACATAAAAGTATCTTTTACAATGAAATATTAAGGAAGATTAAAATGAAAGTTATTAACTGTAAGTCAGGATATTTCATAAAGAAAAAAAAATTCACAATTTACATCACCTGGATTAACATATATAGTACAATAATCCTAACAAAACCTAAATCTATATGTCCCTCAGAAACCCTATAGATTTTAAAGGGGTCTGAAATGCTAAAGATATACAAAAATTGAAGAAATCACGTTTCTGACTCAAATAGCAAAGTAAAATTATCTTGGTTTGAATCCTAATTCTTACTGTGATCAAGAGATACAAAATTGGGCCTCCCTGGTGGTGCAGAGGGTTAAAGTCTCAGTACTATCAAGCTATTACCAGCCACTGCCACATAAGTTGGATCCCAGTTCAGGGAACTGACCCACATGGCGCAGCAGACCTCTCCTGTCTCGCCCGCTGCTCCCCTCAGCAGTGTATTTCAGTAGAGCTGCCTGTTCTGCTCCCACTCTGTGTCTGGTGAATCCTCTCAACCCTCGCATCTCTAGCCTGCACCCCAGTTATTGTATGAATAAATAAATCTTTAAAAAAAAATTATAAAGAAGAGATACAAACTTTCAGTTACAAAATAAATAAGGAGATGCACAATGGATAGCATGAGAACTATTATCATAGTCCAAATTTTAAAGGGTCTAAGAAAAGATAGTAAGTAGATAATGTCAATTTATTATGTTGTATACTTGAACCAAAAATCATGCTGTATGTCAATTATACTTCAATTAAAAACAAAGACCAAAATAGCATGAATAAATGCCCTAATCACCTAATGTCTTCTTCTAAAATAAAAAGTTTACTTAACTGAAATTACCATAGCCACTAAAATATCAAATTTTCACTCTCATGGGTAAAATACTATCTCATGTTAAGTAGTTTAAAGATACATAAAACACATGTAAACATACTCAGTCAAGGATACTGATTCCCTGCTATTGTCCTCTTCTTCAAAACACTCAACAGTACTCAAATATTCTTCAATATTTGTTTGAAGAAGATCTTCAATTTCATCTTTTTCTGTATCAAAATGTATCTCTTCCCAGTCAGAACTACAAAACTAATATAGCAAAATATTGCATTAAGTATGGGTTCATGTAATTATTTATATCAACAAAGACATTCACTAATAACAATTTATATTACCTGATAAAATCCAAAAATTGCCTGCACTGCAAAGAACCATTTCTTGGAACCAGGTATACCACCCACCGAACAAGCTTGAAAACAAAATTACATTATTAGAAGAAAGGTTTAGCAAGTAAGCAGGTATATAGCACACACACTTACAAAATTTCATAATATTGACCTATAAAGTTGCAAGTTTTATACAAATACATACTATATTATAAGCTATTATGCTTTTATATATTATATATTATGCCATGTACTATTTAGTTATATGACATATCATACATATTGTGTGTATAATTTTTTTGTATATTTATTTATATATTTAGTGTGGGTCTTTAAAATCTCAGCTAAAAATTTAAACAGAACAATTTATCTAAGGAGCAAAATTCTTCATGAGCAATGGATAGTTTGCTTTTGATTCATCACAATTCAAAATCCATTATTATTTTAATCATCACATCAGCACTAAACTATACAATACAGATGTGACAAATAGTTACTCTATCACTATGGAAAAACCCAACAGTGTGCAAGTTATCTAAGTGAAAACAATTTCTTCTTCAAAGGCCATAAAGATTTGGTTAAGCCTGGCTAGAGAGAAGAGATTTAAAGAGTAATGTTAGCTTAAAGAAAAGAAGGTGTTCTTGGAGACTGGCATCATTATATATGAAATTTAGGGTCCCCCCTGGGTACCTGCCAAAAAAAGAGTCAAGAAGAATTCAGAGTTATGTAATAGAAACAGGCAAAAAAAGGAAGAAAAGAAAATAAGAAACATGGTAACCGAGGCTTAAATCATGGAATTCAGGTAAGATAGCAAGTGCCAGAAGTCTTCACCTCCTCCTGTTATCAGCAGGTAGATTCTCCCACAACATCTTCTCAGCAAACGTATCACCCTACTTGCATTCCTATTAGTGTTTCCTTTTTCCTTCCTGTTAACATGCAAGAGGCACTGCCCCTCCACTTCAAGGTTACCCCTTAGACTACCTCTGGGAGAACAGGCCACTGATTATACTATCTTTCCCATTGGCATTTAAATTTGCACAAGTATTTCTTAAGTTATTTTTTGAAAAGTATCTCCTTTACATTCACCTTCCTTTTCCAGGTATTACTTGATTTCTTTCTTTGCTTTTCTTCAAGGATAAATTTTCTACATTGACTGTCTTTATCTCCTCATCACTTTTTCTACTCCCCTCCAATTCCATTTCAATCCTGATTTTAATATCCAGCATGCAACTGAAACTACACACACCAAAGTCACCAATAATGTACCTGTTAGTGAGTCTCACAGATGATTTTAGTTTTGCTGCTTCTTGACCTCTCATAGAAGGAAGGAAACAAAAATGACACATTTGACTAATTTCTCCTAAAACACGTAGCTTCTGTGGAACCTATCTTTCCAGCTGCCCCTTCTCATTCCTTTAAAAACTAGGATTCAGTTCAAGATCTCCTGTTCCGCTCACGAGGCAGAGCAATCCCACTTTTTCTCATGTCTTAAACTGACATCTACATATTGATGACTCTTATAAACTGTATCTCTAGCCTTACTCTGTCTTTTGAGTTATAAATACATGCTTCCAACTTTTACACAACCTGCCACCTGGATATCTTTCAGGCAACTAATCCCACGTTTTAATCTGAATGTCTTATTTCGCAAAATCTAATTCTCTTCTCTCACTTATTGCCACCATCACGCTATTATCCATCCTTGATTCCTTTCTCATCCTTCTCCTAAATCACACCAATCCAAAATTAGGTCAGGAGGATTCTACCTCCATAATTTCCTTTGGCTCTATCCATTTTTCTTCACCCTGCTGTCTCTCACTTCTCAGCTGGTCTTCTGCAGCAGCCCCACATATCTTTACATTCCTTTGCTACATTTACAAAGTCCTCTACTTCACCAAGCACACCTCTCCAGCCTTCTTTCAATTATAATCATACTGTACTTGCAGTTCCTTGGATTTGCTGTATCACTGAAAGCAATGATCTTAGCATGGTAGCAAATTCAATACAGGTGGTTCTCTCTCTGCACAGTTCTCTAATGCACAGATTAGAGATGGCATGGTTTAAGTAATACTAGCCTCCTCTCCCCCCTCCCCAACAGGATTCAAATTCCAGCTACCATGGTTTATTGACTGCAACTGAATAAAATAAAACTTCACTGCTAGCTTCTCAGTTTACAAATCACTAAGAAAGAAGTGTGCATCATGATCAATGACCAATCACGTTACTACTTTCACAGTCGCTGCAGACTGGTCAGTGCAGATAGTTTAGTTCAAACCCAGGTGGCAAAGGGTGTGACTGTAGTTGCCTCTTTGCCCCTCCATGATAAATCTACTTCCTGATAGTTTACAAAAATGGATACTAGGAAGAGGAAACTGACACAAGGAAAAAGAAAAAAAGACAAAAGCACCAGAGCAACAAAAAAATAGAAAGTGATAGCACTGAAAAAGATATTTAAATCTAATGTAAATGGATTCTAGAAGTAGTTGCTGTGGTAACAACACTGTGACAAAAAGAATGAAGATATCCCAGAGAAAGTGATGTTAGCAAAAACCTTTGTATTACAGAAGTTCAGAAATACAAACAACATTCAAAGTGCAAAACACTTGGGCCTCCCCTGGTGGCGCAGCGGATGAGTGCTGGGTTGCGAAGCTGCCCACGGCCTCTGCGGCACCGGTTCGATCCCTGGCCACAGGCGAGGGTCCCACATGGCGCGCAGACCTCTCCTGCCTGCCGCGCAGACCTCTCCTGCCGCCCACTGCTCCCCTCAGCAGTGTATTTCGTCGGTCTGCCTGTTCTGTTCCCCACTCTGGCACTGGTGAATTCTCTCACCTCCCGTGCTTCTGACTGTACCCTTAAAAATTAAAAAGTGCAAAACACTTGATGCTAAAACAACCTCGAGTGTGACAATGAGTGTGACAATTCACAACACAGAAAAATGCTCAACTTCCATAGTAAGTTACATGGTAATGGCAGAAGTGGTGAGCACTATTAAAACTACTCTTGATAAGAATTTTACAAAGAAATGAAATGCTTTAATTCTCAATGTTTTGAATGTTTTAAATGACAGTGCAAAAAACAAATATTTTTTTTTACTATGTTTTTCATATCTAATACTAAGAGTTTTTAATGTTTTCACCAAAAATGTTAAAGGTCATGAAACACACACTGGTCATTACATTAGCATTGTTTTATATGGCTTCAGTTGCACAGTTTCTATAGTCCCACACTACCATCTAAACAAGGATGGCATGTACAAAAAACATCACCCCACCCAAAAGGACAATTATCGTAAGAATTTTACAATACTGCCAATAGCACTTATATATTTGATGCCCAGATGAAAGAAAATCTTTCTTGCAGTAACAGTAACACTGACTTAAATTACACCAACTTAAAAATTAAATGAGTGCCACTACGACTTAGCAAGCAGGCTACATAGCACGCACATATTAGAACCAAAGATTGAAATCTGAGAGGCAAGAGGTTCTCTAACAAAAGGAAAAAGAGACAGATTACACAGCTGTGAGAACCATACAGTTATCAATAGGAATACACTCTCCCAGGTGTGACCAGAATGTTCCTTCAGCTTTCAGGTGTCAATCTGTGTTAGCATCTTCTTTATCTGAGCCTTTGAAAGACAGTCTCAGATAGAGGCCAAAATGAAAGAAAAGAGACACTATTACTAGAAAAGTAGATGGATTTATATTTTGTCAAGAGAAATCAAAGGAGAAAAGGGTTTGTTTTGCTTGCCTTTTTTTTTTTTTAACGAAAGGGTGGATATAAAAGTTGAATACTTTCAAAAAGTTAAAGCAGGTAAGAATGGAAAAAAGACCACTGAGTCTACCAATTAAAAGTATCTTTAAGAAAATCAGTAAGGGCCTCCCCAGTGGCGCAGTGGTTGAGCGCTGGGCTGCGAAGCTGCCCGCAGCCTCAGCAGCGCTGGTTCGATCCCCACCAGCGAGGGTCCCACATGGTGCGCAGACCTCTCCTGCCATGCCCACTGCTCCCCTCAGCAGTGTATTTCGTCGGTGGTCTGCCTGTTTAGTTCCCCACTCTGGCTCTGGTGAATTCTCTCACCCTCCCGTGCTTCTGACTGTACCCAGTGCTTGTATAAATAAATAAATAAATCTTTTTAAAAAAAAAATCCGTAAAAGAGAAGGGGGGTGGCGGGGAACGGTAATGGAGTATAAGAGTATTAAGAAGATATTTTACTCAGGACAAAATCACAATCCTTCTCATAATGACACATTACCCTATTTTACAAGTACCTAAAGATGGGCAAGAAAATTTCATAAGGTGAACAAAACTCAAGCGAGAGCCTAGAATAATGTTCATAACAACTTCATGACATTTAAGCATCAGGAAAAGAGGGAAAGCTTCTTTTTTCAGTTTGTATTTTCTTAGTTTTCCCCTTATCCCAGTGACTTATACACCATCAACAAGCATTTCTTTTACTCTTAAGTAACCAAATTAACTAATTTTCTTTTCAATACAAATGCTGTGTCAGAGAAAGGAAAAGCTTGTTATACTTACCAGGGAAAGTACTATCTTCTGGATTACTTGAAGCATTAATGCTTCTTTTCAGGAGGTGATAAACACTTGCTGCTGTTAAGTCTGAAATAGGAGAGACAGACTAATTTAACAGGCTCAACAGTCCCATAATCTAAACTTATTCCAATTTCACCATCAGAGACGCACAGGAACAATATGTTGTATATAAAATAAAAGTTCTGATATCATAAATCTAAAGCAGAGAAAACAGAAAAGGTCCCCACGCTGACCAGATAATACAAATCCAAAATTCCCCCCAAAGTGTAATACTCAGGCGAGAAGGCAGTCTCACAATACTCTATATACACACACACACTTCCTCTTCGAAATGCCCTCTCCACCAAAATTAATAAAATGCATACAGAGTCTAAGACAGGAGCACCTGAGAGTCGTGCAATCTCAAATGATTAAAATTACTTTCAATGCATCATTTGTTTTTAAATTTAGTTTATGTGTGAGCTAATTCCTCCCGCTGAGATGTAAACTCCTAAGAGTTAGGGGCTATTTCCTTCTGGGTCCTTTCTGTATTGCCAGCATTTGGACCCAGGAAGCTGAAATTCCTACTGAATACACATATTTCCAAAGAGCACAAAGTCCACGACCAAAGCAGGGTGAACTTCATTGTTGACGGTGTCAAAAACTACTGAGCAAATGAAAAATGATGTAAATATATATATATAAAATAAAATAAAAGGCACACAGTTAATTAAAAAAGAAAAGAAAAAAATGAATTAACTATCTTTCATGTTAATCAAGAAATGAAATAAAGCTATGCTTTTGACTTTCTTGATAAGACACATTAAAAAAACTTTCTATAAAAAGTAAAAAACTGCTGAGTGCTGCAATCTGACACCCCAACTTTTGTCCCGATTTTTCCACGAAGATACTATTTTTCAGTCCTTATTAGGTCAATCCTAGATAGATCCAGGGACTCCCGGGACAAATTCGATGCCAGCATCTCCCCAGGAGAACTTAATCAAAAATGCGAATTTCTTCTGCTCCCGCAAGCTGTTCCCGCTCTTTCTCAGCGCAGCGCTTACCCGGCGGCTTCTCGGTCCCCTCAACAGCCGACACCCCGGGTCCAGGCTCCGCCTCCCCATCCGCCGAGGCCGGGACTCTCCCTTCCCCCCAGATGACCAGGAGCAGGTACCGGTCCATGGCCTCGGAGCTGACCCCGGGCGTGAGGTCCCGGTTCCTGCATCCAAACTGCCGCGCGCTGCGGCCGCACTTCCGGTGTCCCTCCACTTAGGTCGGCTGGAAATTGTGAGTCCGCCGTCAGCCTTCCAGAACTTTTCTAGCAAGCGGGTTATATTTGGGAGTTGTTATCTCAGTAACTGCATTAATGCCTCCTTGCGTGACGAATGGCTGCCATGGCAAGATTAGAGGGGCTTCGGGAAGAGCGGGGAACAGGTGAACGTCGGCCGGCCTAGGAACTGTGATGCTCGGGCATCTGTGTTCCCCGCCGGGCCGGTGCTGCTGCGGACCCGGCTTTGCATCCTGGGAAAAGGAGGGCGGGCCTGCAGGTGGGAAGCATGTCGAGCTTCTCTAAAGCGACCCAGGTGAGCTCGGACTCTCGTGGCTTGATGAGAGGCATTACGCCCGCAGAAGGAGGTCACTCGCCCCGCCGGATTTCGTGGAGCTGAGGGACCAGAAAGCCGAGTCCTTGGGTTAGGAAGTGCCGTGGGCAGGCATAACTAGGGGGTCATGATTCAGGCCATCCTCTAGGTCCTCGCCCCCTGCTCTTGTCAGTCAGCCCTTTTCCTGTGTTGTTTTATTCCCCTTGGAAAGAACATTAGGAGAAAAGGTTAGAGAGGTAATGAGGTGGGTCGCGTATGTCATTGTAGATCATTGTAAGAATTTGGTTTTACTGAGTGAAAGGAGAGCTTATTGGGGGGGTTTGAGCCACGGAATAACGGGATCTCACTTAGGTGTTACAAAGAGCACTCTGGGGGCCTCCCTGGTGGCACAGGGGGTTAAGACGCAACCTATGAAGCGGTCTGCAGCCTCTGCACCATGAGTTCGGTCCCCGGGCAGGGAGCAACCTACATGGCGCAGCAGACCTCTCCTGTCTCGCCCGCTGCTCCCCTCAGCAGTGTATTTCAGTCAGTCTGCCTGTTCTGCTCCCCACTCTGTCTTTGGTGAATGCTCTCACCCTCCCACATCTCTGGCCTTTACCCCAATTCTTGTATGCATAAATAAATAAATCTTTAAAAAACGAAAACGAAAAAACAAAGAGCACTCTGGCTACTAAATTGAGATTCTTCAGAGGTGAGGATAGAAGGAAGAAACCGTCTGGAGGCTATTGCAGTAATCCAGATTAGACGTGGTGGCACAACCAGGCTGTCAACAGTGCGGTTTGAAAGCCAGTGAGATTTGGAGCCAATAAGATTTCTGGAGGAATTGGATGTTGGGCGCAAAACAAGAAGCGTCTTACTCCACGCTTATGGCATCAACTGAGATAGAGAAGGCTGAAATTGCAGGTTTCGTGTCTAAGCGCAGCCCTTCAGTTTCGGATCTGTTGGTCTGTGATGCCTCTTAACTCAATCCTCCTCCACATGATTTCTTTCTTGGACTGTTTGTTGCTTATCCCCGATGCGGTAAATGCAAGAAATAAAATTGAACATTAAAAAATTCGTAGCAACTTAACATTGTGTCAGCATTTTTTTATCACAATTTTTTTCAATCAAAATATCAAAGAATTGATCTGCAAGAGATAGAGTAATTAGTCTTTAGGTAGATATGGTTTAAGAATAATGAGAACCACACCCCTTTTCAGAAATAGAAATGAAGACAAAACTCTTGAATGGTATGGTATTTTTTCAAATGAATCATTGACATTAACTATAGAATACACGTGATGGTAAATATAATAATAATAAACTCAGTTATTTCCATTTTATTTTTTTTAAAGATTTATTTTTATTTATACAAGCACTGGGTACAGTCAGAAGCGCGGGAGGGTGAGAGAATTCACCAGAGCCAGAGCGGGGAGCAGAGCAGGCAGAAGGACCGAAGTACATTGCTGAGGGGAGCAGCGGGCGGCAGGAGAGTTCTGCGCGCCATGTGGGACCCTCCTCCGGTGGCCGGGGAGCAGCCGGGGATCGAACCGGCGTGCAGAGGCTGCGGGCAGCTTCACAACCTAGCGCTCAACCGCTGCGCCACCGGGGAGGCCCAGTTATTTCCATTTTAACTAGGATTTTATTGTTTCATCTTCTTATTTTCAAGCAATGGGCCACTTTTGCTCGAATATGGTATCTCTTAGACGGGAAAATGCAGCCCCCCGGCAAGCTTGCTGCTATGGCATCAATTAGACTTCAAGGATTGCATAAACCCATGTACCATCAACTAAGTGAGTACCTTTTTAGATTTGTCATTAGTAGCCGTAGTTTTCATGCAAAAATAGAATCTTGAAGAATTTTGGCTGGGCTGTTTTTAAGGACCTCCTTTTCATAAGGATCCCTTATCTCACTTTTGCTAAAAAATAAAAATAAAAACCCACCTATTAGGGCACTAATATGAGTTTGGCTTATTCATAGGAAAATAGTACCTACTAATTTGCCTGTATGACCCCATCTTATGCCATTGCCACAGGAAAAATTATAAGTAGCCCCTTCTTTCACTCTCAGAAATACCCTGATTTGAACTGTGAATGTTCACTCTTACACATGTCTTTTCACATGACAACATTCATTTGAATAGAGAGTTTTTGAAAATGAGTAAATAAACTTGCCCTCTCTTCTAAAATCACTTTCCCCTAAAAAGATATACAAGTGCTAACTAGGCATGGAAAGTTTACTTTGCACTGTTTTGATTTATTAGATTTCCTTTTCTGTATCTTTCCAAAACAAAACAAAAAGACCCTTTGATTTGGCTTACTATAGGCAGGTTTGTGTGACTTCACTGGCACTTCACTGTCTAGCCCACAATATCAGTTGTTACTCTTCATTTTGCTTGCCCCATGAACAAGATTTGTTGCAGTTGATCACAGTTTTTGTGACTTACTTTGAAACTTGAAATGTACAGATCTATAGCTATATATAAATATAGGTAATATTTTAAAGAAAAGTAACAGTAAGGATGATGATGAAATGAATACCCATACACTCCACATTTTCATGGTGTCACTTTTTTTTTGGCCATTACAAACAATGTTGTTCTTTTTCTGCCTGCACGTGTGGAAGAGTTTCTCTGAGGTCTGTCCATAAAATGGGCATTACTGGACTCAAATGTACAGGGGAAACTAGTTTGTATTTATGCTGATGTCCTTTAATGCCACATTTTGCTCCCTCTGACTCAATGCTCTCTCAGATAACTCCATGGCTTACTGCTTCACATTTTTGAGAGATTATCTGCTCAATCACTTATCAACTCACTTTCTATATATTGATAAATATTTGTATATTGTTCAGCTGCCATCACTAGACTTAGTTCCAAGATGACAGGAACGTTGCCTGATTCTGTCTTAGTTGTTTCCCCAGTGCCTATAACACTGCTTGATTCCAGTTATGTGGATTCCAAGTCCACTTTGTTGCGTGAAAGCATACATTCATAAATACCAATTCTTAGAGTGAAGAAATTAAAAATTTAACTAGCACTTTGAAATTTAGACTAAGTTTAATTTTTGGATCCATGGTATTAGGGGAGGATATTCCATATGTTTTGATCTGGACCAAGAGCAATTTATGATATCCTGTGTGTCTTAAATTTGCTGCTTTTCACTAAATGAACATTAAGGTATCAAAAGCCCACACCCTTTGAAATCTGTAAGCACAATTGTGGATCTAAGGGTTCTGTCATGCTAATTCTTGTTTTTTTGTGCACTTAGTATAGTGTCTTATCTATAATAGATGCTTGTCAGGAATATTTTCTGGAAAAATACTTTCAGATAGATGCTTTATCAGCACAATCAGTTTTCATTGTCCGCGGCAGTTATATTTCAAAAAATTGCCCCAAATGCTTACTTAGAGAATATCAAACCCTTGCTCCTAGAAGAAGTGCAGGATTTGGTTCCTGCAAGCTTTTGGTCCCTTTTTTTTCACCCAGTCAGTTCATAGTTTTGATTTTTTTTAATGTGTGTTTCTGTTTAAAGACATTTTATTACTATGTGTGTATGTTTGTATGTATATATTAATATATACATTGCTGATTGTTTAACATTGAACTCATGACCAACAGCACTATAATTCACACCTTGTTGAAGCTTATCTAAGTAACATATTTTCTCTACTGTAGCCTTCTTTACTTACTAACAATACACACCACTTCAGCATCAGGTTTACACAGTGAAGTCATTAGTAAAAAGCACAAAATGTGCATAAAACCTGACACAAAATCCACAAAAAGACGTTGGTAAAACAAGAGCTTTTAGAACACCAGGAGAACTTTTGTGGCTGCCTGTCAGGGCATCTTTTCTGATCATGGAAAATAGCTTTTCCATAAAATTAGAGGTTAATTTTTTGAAGATTAAATTGCATTTTTCTTTCACTATGCTTAATAAGTAACTTAGAAAACTTTTCATGTCCACAAGGTGTCACTAAAATCAAAACTTGAATTGCAGTTTTCATTTTAAAAATCTGTTGTTTTAAGCTTATTTCTAACATTTATTGGTTTAATCAACACTTATTAAACATGGTTTATGTAATCAGTCACTATAAATGTTTATTTTAAAATTGACATGTAATGCCTAAGAAAAATAACATTACAAATTGTGATCATCTATCCAGAAATGGCTATAAAAGTTAGCCAGTAACATATCTGAACATAATTTATTCAATGTATGGGCTATTTTCCAGGTCAAATGGACATTTGCGAAGTTTTTGGAAAACCAACTTTCCATTTATAAGGTTTTTGTTTTTGTTTTTTTTAATTCTCCTAATTAGAGCACTCCTCTTGAATTTGGGACTTGGGGGATATTTTTAAACCTTTTTTTTTTTTTTCTACTAATAAGTGAACAGAAAGGCCCTTGGTGATTTTTGAATTACAATTTATTCATCATAAGGACTCCACTCTTTTTCTGCCTATAGAGTAATTATTTGAAGAGAACTATAGGAGCATTTAAGGGAAACCTTTCCTTAGCATTGTCTAAATTTTTTTTGATGATCTTATAACTCCTGGTCTATGTGGAATAAAATAAAAGTTGCACCCCATTTTCTTAAAGATTAATGTTATGAAGCTAGCACACCAAACAATTCTACACAGATTAGATTAGGTCTAATTGCTGGTATTCTTCCTTGCATTATTAAATCTTTTAAGGGTTTATTGGAGAAATGTTTGATATCCTTCCTAAACTTACCTAGCTAACATATTTCTCTCTTTCTATTCAGTTAAGTGTCAGACTATTTTAAATGTTAATTATTGTATCATTTAAATTTTCAGTCTTTCTTGCACATTGATTTTTT